ATTTTAATCAAGTTAAGTGCATCAAGAGTGAGGATTCTAAGGTATTGGTGAATGATGAAGAGGTTAACGACAGATGGAAGAACTATTTTGAGAAACTATTAAATGAGGAACATGGAGGTACGACAATAGAGGAAGAAATAGCCAGTAATACGATAAACCAAGATTATAGGTTCTATTACAGGATTAGAAACTTTGAAGTGGAGATTGCACTTAAGAAGATGAAATCAAATAAGGCTTTAGGACCCGATCATATCCCTATTGAAGCTTGGAAGTATTTGGGTAAAAAGGGGATTGCTTGGTTGACTAGGTTGTTTAGCAAAATTTTGTTGACTAGGAACATGCCAGATGAGTGGAGGAAGAGTATTTTAGTACCAATCTACAAGAATAAAGAAGATGCCCAGAATTGTAACAACTATGGAGGAACTAAGCTGATGTGTCATGTAATGAAAGTGTGGGAGAGGGTGATGGAACGCCGATTACGAGATATAACAGAGATGTTAGAGAATTAATTTGGGTTTATGCCTGGCAGGTCAACAATGGAAACGATTTATCTTTTGGGGAGAGTAATCGAAAAGTATAGAAAAAAGGAAAGAGACATTCATATGGTGTTTATTGACCTTGAGAAAGCTTATGATAGAGTGTCTCGAGATATACTATGGTGGGTGTTAGAGAAGAAAATGGTGACAAAAGGTTACATTGATATGATTAGGGACATGTATGAAGGAGTGATGACCACTATTAGATCGCCTGCTGGAGAGACAAATGAATTTCTTATCACTGTAGGGTTACACCAAGGATTTATTTTAAGTCCTTATTTTTTCGCTTTAGTTATGGATGAGTTGACGAGAAATATTCAAGATAGCGTGCCATGGTGTATGTTTTTTGCAGACGATATCGTGCTAGTGGATGAGACTAGAGAAGGAGTTAACACAAAGTTGAAGATTTGGAGAAAAGCTCTTGAATCTAAGGGATTCCGGATAAGTAGAACTAAGACAGAGTACATGGAGTGTAAATTTAGTAACAATAACAATGAAAGCAGAGGAGAATTGAAGATTGAAAACCAAGAACTGTCTAAGAGTGAACATTTTCGTTATTTAGGGTCGATTATCATAATAGCAGAGGAGATTGATGCGGATGTGGCCCATAGGATTAAGGCGGGATGGTATAAGTGGAGAAGTGCGTCTGGGGTACTGTGCGATAAACGAATACCTACTAGACTAAAAACTAAGTTCTATAGAATGACTATTAGACCAACGATGTTGTATGGGACGAAGTATTGGGCAACCAAGAAACAACATGTAAATAAGATGAGTGTGACTGATATGAGGATGCTAAGGTGGATGTGTGGTAAGACTAGACAAAATAGAATTAGGAATAAGTGTATTCGGGAATGGGTAGGAGTAGCACCGATAAAAGAAAAGTTGACAGAGAATCGATTGAGATGGTTTGGTCACATTCAACAGAGACCAACAGAGACAGTAGTGAAGAAATGCGATGCTGTAACGGTAGATGATAGTGTTAGGGGACAGGGTAGGATTAGATTAATGTTGCCTCGCGTTATAAATAGAGATATGGATCTACTTAATTTGACTAACAAAATGGCCTTTGATAGGGCCGCTTGGAGAAAAATGATTCATGTAGCTAACCCTATTTGATGGGATTTAAGGCTTGGTTTGGTTTGGTTTTGGTTGCTGGTCTTTACAAACACTTTGAGCTTTATTGGCAGGCTAGTGAAGAGAGTTAATTAGCGCCACACATACTTGCTTATCTCTTGACAAGGCTTCCGCACAGCCGGTGTGTGACACTAGGCTAGAGACAAGGCCAGGACCCATACACACCAAGCACTACCACTATGCTACTGCTGCTCTCCAATCCCTAACATCATGAAGATCCAATGCTCCTTTTAACCTAATGAAAATTCAAAACAACATCAGATACTGAATAGAAATCCCCAATTCCTTGTGCCTCCATCCAAATAGCCACCCTAGCATTGATCAAATCACACAAATCTTCAATTAGAGGCTGTAACCCATTGAATAAGCAATCATTCCTAAACTTCCAAATAGACCACATAACTACCACTGCAATGCCTCTCCATATCTTATTTTCCTTTTCCCTAAACCTCTAGCCATCCACCAATGCAGCAGACTATCCACTGTGTTGGGAATTTCCCATTGTACACCCCACCATCTAATGATATTAGCCCAAACTTGGCATACAAATGGGTAATGAAGCATAGTATGATCAAATGATTCCAAACTTACTTGACACATCACACAATTTGAATCCACATTAGCCCCCAACGCCCCCATTCTGTGAAGAAAATCAGAAGTTTTTAGTCTTCCTTTCCAAGCCAACCTAGTGATAAACCTAGCTTTTGGTGGAGATAGGTTGTTCCAGATCAAATCAGGTGAATTTGAGATAATCAGTTGAACCATCTCCCCAATTGTAAGCATGACACGCCTTGAATACCTGACTGCTCAGAGTTCCACCTAATCTCATCCACTGAATTATCCCTCAAAATTGGACCTGCTCCCAGAACTCTATGATGCCTACCTACCTCTTCATCTTCCCATGCAAACATGAGCCTTATAAATGAAAAATCCCAGGTATTATTGTTACTTCTGCAGGCTACTTAAATCCTCCTTATAGTAACAAGAGTTAATTACATTTTTTGTCCCCAAAATATGAGTCTTGTATCATTTTAATTCTCAATATTTAAATTGTGTCAAGTTGATTTCCAATAGGTAAAACTAGAGAACAAAACAGTTTATTGTAGAACAAATATCAATCAAAACAGTGATGTTGCCGGGAAATGATTCTCCTTGTTGTACTATCACTGTGTTCAACAAATCTCAATTCCATGTTCCGCAACTCAAAGGGTATTATTAAATCAACTCTGTTACGTAGCTCGAAACTTATGGCTCGAGAAGTGGCCCGAAATCATGTCTTCTTCTTTCATCTCTTCTCTCCCCTTCTCATCTCTCTTTCTCATCTTTCAAAAAATCCTTTCCTTTCTCTGCAGAACAAAACTCGCAAATCTCTCATCAATAGAAACCAAAACCAAAACCACTCACACTCTCTCTCTACCTTTCTCTCTACTCCACTTGTCAGAGTATCCAAAACCTTGCCCTTCAGACTCCCCCTTATTCTCTCTTCTCAAAACCCATAATCTTCTCTCTACCTTGCACTGTGTGGACATTAGCTTTCATGGCGGCACAAGAATCTAATCCATTGCCATTCATTAAGAAAGTATTGTTTGCAGAGACAATGTGATAATGAAAAGACCAGAGAGTTTGGAATCTTATAAAACACAGCCACATAAACGTACTAAATTAGAAAAGTAAAACCACCTTTCCTAGAGATCCCAAACTTTCCATGAAAATGCTGAGAAAATATGAACAATTGGCTATACAGTAAAAATATTTTAGACCCAAATCCAAAGAAATCAAAACGAGATTCTTCAGGTGAATCAATCTCTCTCACCAATCCAAACCCATCTTCAAATTCAACTCCACTTTATCAAACAGCCAGAGTTTTCACCAAAGCTTCGAGTTACGAGTTTGAAATCAAGAAAATTGATGCTAACACTTACAGAATAGCTTCCATGGAAGGTGGGTCATCCTCTTTTCCAAAGAATGCCTATGAACACTGAAGCTACAAATCATCAAATTATTTACCTTCAACCCAGATTCAGATATATGAAGCAAGAATTTTCACAGAAACAACAAAACCCACTTGGAAATTTCCTCCTCTGTTCCCCCTCTCTTTTTGTTTTTCTTCTCTCTGCCTACTCTCTTTCTCTCTCCTGTTCTCAAACCAGTTTCAAAGAAGAGAAAACAAAAGGAAAAACAAAAAAAAAAAAAATTCCAAAACGACGTTGTTTTGGAATTTCGGGCCACTTGAGCCATGAGAATGTCGAGCTATGAAGCTTTATTCATTATTAAAGCCAATTTTGTCAACATCGTCCTTTTGGAGGCTTGCACCAACATGGCTCCGTTTGTTTCAAAGTAAAATATTTTACACAAAAATATTTTTCTTATAAATTGATTTTACATAGAAAAAAATATTTTTATTTTTGTTTTTTGACATTTGGTCGATACTTGAAACAAAAATATTCCATTGTCAAAAATAAAAAATTTGATTCAATTAATGACTTTTTATGAGTTTTTCGTTTATGACTTTTATGTCTTTTTAGTGAGCTGAGATATTTTGAAAATACTAAAATGTGTGGAAAATGTAGTGTGTGAGAGTGATTTTGTAAAAATTGGCTTACGGAATTTTAAAAGGTAAGTTATTTTTAAAAAAATGATGCAAAAATATTTTTCTTAAAAAATATTTTATTTGCTTTTTGTTCAACCAAACAATAGAATGAGTAAATATTTTGGATGTCAAAACAAACGGAGCCTTTTATTATTCATCAAAACTGAATTGTAGAACAAATATCAAACAAATTTAGAAACTTAATCACCATGTTTGGTCTAGAAAATTGAATCCACTTTTTAGAAAATTGAGTTTTTTATTTTCTATTTTTAGTGAATTTTCAAATATATTTTTTAATTTTTTAAAAAAAATTTAGATACACCTAATCTAAATAGGCTTTAAAATATAATATTTGTAAAAAAAAAATTAAAAAAATTCACCAAATACAAAATATACAAAAAAAAAAAAATTAAAAATTCAATATATTTTTGTATTTTGTTTTATTCAATGATTTTTTTAAAAAATTTTTGTACAAATTTTTTATTTTTTAAATATATTAAGATTAAGTGGATCTAAAAATTTTTTAAAAAAAATTGATTAATATTTTTAAAAATTACTAAAAAAAATGAATTGAAAACTCAAAACCAAACATGGTGAATAATTCTAGGCAACTCAATATTAAATCAAAATATTCCTAATCAATTATTAAAATAATAATAATAATATAATATATAAATTTAAAAAAAAATTCTGCATATAAATCCTGCATACCAAGTCGTGTCAAAGTTAGTAACTACCTTTGAAGTCATTATGCCCAATATACAACTCCTTAAGCATGGTCAAGTTGCCGATTTCTCGAAGTATGCTGCCATTCAAACTATTAAAAGATAGCGATAAATATTGAAGCTTCCTGCACTTGTACAGACTGGATGGAATTTCGCCATAAAAATTATTAGCCGTCAGATCAATGCTTTGCAACGACGACATGTTGAAGAACATAGCAGAGGGTATAGAACCCGTAATCTGATTGTTTTCCAAATTCAAAAATTTCAAATTTGAAAGTTTACCAATCTCATCTGGAATATTTCCATGCAGAGAATTGTACCCTAAAGTGAGTCCCTCTAGCTTTGAAATGTTGCACAATGAAGATCCAATTGTGCCTGTGAAATTATTGTGGTGTAGAAGCAAGTATTGAAGATCTGGTAAATTACCAAACCATGAATATGAATTCAAATCTCCGACAAAGTTGTTGTACCCAAAGTTGACTTGTTTGAGTCGATGCAAACAAGCAAATTCCTTGGGGATTTGGCCATAGAAATGGTTGAAACTGATGTCGAGTAAAGATAGGAATGAGAGGTTGCCGAGGTGGGGAGAGAGCGAGCCTGTGAGACCCATGTCGGAAAGATTCAGAGATATGACCCTTTCGTGGAGGACACCACAGGTGATCCCAACCCAGCCGCAAACTAAACTTGTGGTGGACCAATTATCAGCCAAGATATTGTATGGGTCTAAAATGATGGAGGCTTTGAAGAAGAGAAGAGCAGATTGGTCTGTGGTTAAGTTGGTTATAGCTATAGAAGAAATTGACTGATTCAGTACCAAGAACACTAGAGCGGCAGCGAGAAAGCTTCTAGTTTTTTCCATGATTCTTTGTAAACTACAAAATAGACCCATGTAGTATGACTCACATATATAGAATAGTTTTTTTTAATTTATTTTTGATGTTAATAATGATATTATTTGAGTTATGATTAAAAAAATTTAAATTATTCCTTATGTTGTGTGAGTTATACTTTGTTTTCTTTATTTTTGATTTTCATAAGATTTTGTTTTCTTTATTTTTGATTTTCATAAGATTTAGTCATGAAATTTGTGGTGATATGTGTAAACCTTTCATTTTAAAACACAACCATTTATAATAAAATTAAATAAAAAATTATTTATCCAAAAATGATATTGTCACATTATTCTTATATTATTTTTGTATATATTTTTTGAAATAATGGTTGTCTTTTAATTGTGAAGTAATAGAAAATAATCATTTGGTCAGAATATTTATTATTACATTTGATTTACTTTAGAAATTATAAAAATAAAATTATATCATTCACTATTATAAAAAGAAAAAATGATAATTTCATAAAGAAATTTAAAAATTATAATTTCATTTTAATTTATTTCACTCCCATTTTAATAAATTAAACATTTTAATTAAATGTTTGACTTCTTTCAAATTCAAATCTTAGTTTGAGAGAATTTGAAGGGACTCATGAGATCTACCATGGATTTCATTTCGATAATTTAATCTATTAATTTTGTAAGGACTTCTATGTATATTATTTATGAAAAAAATTAAATCAATTCGATAATCGTACATTTTATGAAAATGAATGACAAGTATTTTTTTAAAAATATACCCTAGATTTTCTGAAGAGAAATAAAATAAAAAAATATTACAATTATCAAATTAATTTTTTTTTTTAATAAATGACATACACATTGTATCAACACGTATCAAAGGCATAAGGGGAAACAAAGTTAAAATTATAATTAATAAACTTTTGTCAGTGGGGCAATTTAGGAAGATTAGTTTTTTAATTTTTTGGCTTTTTTAAGTCACATTATCTCTTTACTTTTTTACACAAAAAAGTTAAAAAAATCCAAAAAACTAAAAGATTAACTTTTTATCATCTTCTCAATACACTACAAAAATATTTTATGAAAAAGCCGGGCTTCATAGTAGAGAACAATTCTTTTGAAGGGTAAATTAATATCTTCATTGGTTCCAATCACTCATCATTGTGATATGTAATTTAGAGTGTCTCTGATTATCTTTTGTTTTATTAAATTTAAATTTGATAAATAAATATATAAAATTGGTGCTCTAATATCAACATCAAATCAGTATCAAATTGAGAATATCTTAAATTTTTTATCAAATTGAGAATGCTGAAACCTTTTAGCAAATTATAATAGATAGTCGTTAGCTTTATACATGGTGGTTAGACAATGTGTGAGCACTAAACAACTAGCCAAATGTCCGGCCAATTGTCTCCTGGTCGACCATCTCCTTATAAAATTGCCTATAAATTTAGGAAAAATTAGTCTAAGATTCCTCTCATTTTTAATAAAGTAAAAGATTCACAATATTATTTGGTAATGTCTAAAGTCCCTCAACTCACACCCCCACACCCCTCGACTCTTGCTAACACCTCCAACAAGAGGGCTTCAATGTCATCTACCTTCCAGTCGATTCCGATAGAACCGTCGACCTCAATCAGCTCTGATTTGCGATTCATCTCGATACTAGACTCGTTTTAATCATGATGGTGAACAATGAGATTGGAGTAATTCAACCGATGGATGAGATTGGGAAAATTTGTAGGGAATTGAATGTTTCGCTGCATACCGATGCTGCGTAGGCTTTGGAAAAGATTCCGATCTCTCTCTCTCTTTCTCTCTCTCTCTATATATATATATATATATATCTCCATTCTTAATCTCCATCTTCCTCTATCAACTAGTTCATTCCAGATCTTGTATAGTTCTTTCGATTTGTGAAGATTATTGAATCAAGGTTCATTTTTCTTCAAATTTCCCAAGGTACTATTGACAGATCTTGTAACACCCCAGCTAATGTGTGAACCATGAAACACATTTTGCCTGAGGTTTATGATTTTCAACCAAAAAAGATTGTGATGAGGAATTTTTCTGGGTTGGAGAGGGGAATTTTCTCTGTTTGAGTGAATTTTTCTAGGTTGGAAGGGGATTTTCTCTAGGTTTGAGTGAATTTCTCTGAGTTGGAGAGAGATTTTCTCTGAGTTTGAGTGAATTTTTCTGGGGTAAAGTAAGTCCAGAGAAATTCTTAATTTCTCTGATGAGATTTTCTCTGTGAAGTCGAATTTTCTTTGGATCAATTTGAGGGACCTTAGACATTATTAAAATATTGAATGTCCTTTATGTTATAAAATTTTAGGATAAATTATAAATACATCCCCTAAGGTTTGTTTAAAATACAAATTGCCCCATGTAGTTTGGAAAATTACAAATACCTCATCGTTAGAATTTTTTATTTAATAGAATTAATTGAAAAAGTAAAATTTCTAACTGTTCATCAATACAATAATAAAATTATATGAATTATTAATTGAAATAAAATTTTAACATTATTAAAAACAGTTAATTAACTTGATGATTTATAAATAAAAAGAATTTATTTATTATGAAATTAGAAACTTTAGGGGGCATAATGTTATTTCTAAAATTATATGGAGTAATTTATAATTTAAGTAAAGCTCAGAGAGTATGTTTGTAATTTATCCAAAATCTTAATAACAGAAATCCTAAAAAAAATTCCCATAAATTTATATTGGCCGGTTGATCGACCGGACATCTCCAGTTGTCTTCCCGATCGATTGATAATTTGATAAAATCTCAAATTACTTCGCTGAAGCCCGTGATATTAAATAAATTTTTTATTCAAATTTAATATTACAAAAAATAAAAATAAACGTTAACGATGCTCTTAGTAGTAGTAAATGAAATGACCAAAAAGAAAGCCCAGAGCATGAATTGACTGGACAAGAGAAAAGGGTAAAGTGGACCAATAATGACAAAATACAATCCAAAAACAATGAAGCAAAGTGTGAATCTTAAAAAAAAATAATAAAAATAAAAAATAAAAAAATATGGGGAAATTAGTGGGTATCCATCCCCAACCCATCCCCTGTGGATATTTAAAGAATATCACCTACCCTACCCAATTGATAAGAAAAAGAGGGGAAAACCCATGTATTTGGGTTGGGTCTCCATGGATACCCACAGGGTAGGTTATCCATTGCCATCCCTATGAGGGGCATAGATGATTTAACTTTTATAAATTTTAGAAATTACAATTTAAATGAAACATTTTTATTCATTTTAATATTTTAATTTAAAACTTGTTTTCTAATTTGTATGCAATATTAAATAAATAAATAAAATATTAAGTCAATTAATAATTTTTAATGATATGATTTTAATGTTATTCATTTTTACAGTAATGTTACATATTTTTTTATCAAAACATTTTCAAATCATAAAATATATAACAATATCACAAAATATATAACATTATCATAAAAATATATAACTTTATATCTCAACCAAAAATTATCACTACTCCTATAAAAAAAAAAAAAAAAAAAAGGTTACAGTTACCATAAAAATCTATAACATATCACAAAAATATATAATAAAGTTCACATAAGATACATCCTTCAAAAAGGTGTGCTGAAAACAAAAGCATATATGGCCCGTACGTAATTTAGAACACAAAGGCAGGGCATTATGGAAGATAAAAAAACAACCCATATACTAAACAAGAAGTGCCACTTATTAGTATAGGTATAGGAAAATAATGGGGTGTTTGGGGGAGAGAATTTGGTTAAAATAATTTATCAAAGATAAAATATATTAAAATAGTTAATAAGATAAAATATCACATCCAATTTATAATCATTTTATTTTTTCTCTTATAATCATCAAATCATCTAAAAAAAGTGACCAACTTTCTAAACACAATTATTACTGAAACTGAGACCATCTCCAACGCTTCATCAAACTTGGCATCAGATTTGAATTTTGGTGAAAAAGTCACTTTTTGATGCTTTAATGGTTTCAGCAAACAAGTATCAAAATGAGAATTCAGTAAATAATTCATCAAAGTGAGAACATGTTGCTCATTTCACCAATACACTGTGCATAGCCGTTAAAGCAGAAATTTGTCAAAATTTTACACATGGTGGTCGATCCCCTGGTCGACCACCCGATTGACCAACCGGTTGACCAGCTTCAGCAAATGGTTCAAAAATTGGTAGGTTCAAACAGTTTGAAAAGATAAAAAAAAAAAAAAAAAAAAAAATTGTCTTACCGGTCGACCAACCGGTTGACCCACGGGATTACTTTCATGTCCCTGGCATTTTTCTTTACTTTCAATTCTTACATTGAAATCAATTATAAAATCACACACAATTCTTAGTTTCAAGAGGCGATCAAGTCTTCCATATCTGTATTTCTAGACTTTTGAATTTGTGAAGCAAGAGATTTTGGTTTTGGTCAAGGGTATTATTGTGGACCAAGCTTCTCTACATTTCATACAATAATACACAATGAATTTGATAATTGTGACTAGGATAATCTTATTTTTTATTGGTCAACCATACATATATTTATAAAACAAATACTCAATCATCATAGTAAGTTCATGAACTTTTAGACTGTATTTCATTCATGCATTTAAGGAAATATTTAAGAAGAAAAAAAAATATAAAAAAAATATGAATGAAATATAATTATATTTTATCTCACTTTTTCTTTCCACATGTCTCCTAAAACCTGCAAACTAAATACAACCATAGTGTATGCTCCATCATAAAACTCAAAGTAAATTCATGAACCTTTAGATTACTGTATGCTCCAGCATCTCCGTTTATTAATGTATGTTTAGGACCACCGTTGATTGCAATTTTTTGTCAAGATCATTGGAAAGTTATTTTGAATCAGATTTTATTTGTTTAATCCATGAAAAACAAAATCTAAACGAAGTTTAAAAGGAAAATGTTTAAAATTAATAAATTTTACAATATTTGTATTAACGTAACATAAAATAATAACCTACACCTAAATAATAAAACATGTGTCACATAA